GGTGTGTATGTGCGCCTCCATTGGGGGCCGCCGTTTATCGACAGGAAAGGCAGAAAAAGATCCAGTGCGCTGTCGAGATGACAGTTGGACGCGATGTAAGAATGCTGTTCAGATACAAATCGCGCAAGATTGCAAGCTATTAATCTCTGATAACAGATAAACTTGACAGAAGAATTTAATCTCGAAAAGAGTCATTTATCATCAGACATTTTTTCCTCTCCTCCTAAACACACCTTTTCACCCATTCGCAACTCCCTGTCAAACACGCAGTAAATTCACGGTGACGAGATAAGCTATGGAATGTCTCAACTTCGCGACAGAAATTGTGGCTCCATTCCAGCTTATCACTCTGCACTCTTAAGATCTCTTTCTCTCCGCTTGAATAAATTCTCCAATAAATGTCTTATTAATCCGCAATGAAATAAAACATTTGAATGGAAAAAATGCCTCATGTTGTATTGCGGCTGATGATAAATCAACGTGAAAAACGTGCACAGAGATCTCAAGGAGTTTCGCCATTTTCATCGGTAGCAAAATATGGGTGAAAAGATATAGATTTGTACTGCGCTTGGCGAATTCTTCGCTGCCACAGATTAAGGCAGCGCTGGAGCTCCAGAAAATACCGAAAGAATTGACATAAATTGCCATAAACTACTCAACCCAATAACGTGTGGCACGTTTGGACTGTTGCTGATACTTCTCACACACTTATCCCGTGAGCTTTGCTCGTTTGATTTGTTGAATGGTCAACTGGAATTGATGAGGGAAATTTATTCGTTGTGTGTAGAGATCGACTTGGAGGCTGTTAAGTTACGCCTTTCATGTAGAAAATAATTTGTTTATCCATGAATATTTAAAATCCTTGACTCTAAAAATAGTTCGATAGTGAAAACTATCGTTTTATAATCTTGTCTCATTTTCATTTCATCTCAAATTGGAAGAAGTTCAAATTTCATCCAATTTTTCACCTTATTTTTCATTATTCTGGAGTTTTTCTGCCTATTTTCGAATATTATTTACTATATTATCTTCCAGATTACTATTTTATACCAAGATAACTTGTAAAAGTGCGTAAAATACGTGTAATTTAATCCCACTGGACTTGGTCAATAGCAATTTCACTCAATTGCTGAATTGCACGGAGACATGACCTCAAATGTATAACATATTGAATGCTAAAGAGTTATTTAACGCACACCATCCGGTGAGAGTTATGCAAAATTAGCAGTGCGTCTATTTTCTCAAGTCTCCGGTTGCACACAGAATCATCGAGAGAAGATTGTGACATATATTCGCTGTACCTAATTAAATAATTTCAGGTAAAACACACTTCACAGCAGTCGCATTTCCACATTGTAAATCATCATTCATGGGTGTAGAATTCACTCCTCAATTTACAGCCACGACGATGGTGTGTGACGAAAGCGAACCTTTTGATGAGAGATTCACATTTCACGCTTGTGAATGTTCTTCTCTTGTTCCTTCAGTCTCAACATCGGTGGTACATGAATCTGTGTTCTCATCTCCACGTCATCCCAAAGTTAGAATCTCTTCTCGCCACGAGAGAGAGAAAGATTGATGGCACCTCAATCGATTGTCTCAACTTTCACGCAGGTCAATGGATTGACGGAGTTTCAATTCTCCCGCACAAATCATTATGTTACATAATTTTGGAACACTTTTTGAAACACACTCTCTGTCCCGCTATTGCTTCATTGGCATGAAAGAAAACATCACATCATCGCACTCTCGTGAAGGGCGAAGAAAAAAACACTGAGACTTTTCCGAGCGATAAGAAGATAAACAAGAAACTTTTAATTTGTTGACACGAAACTTTCCAACCAAGCAACTTCACTCCGATCATCAGCGGCCAAAGTATATACACAGCAGCGAGTCTTCAGGGAGTCACACATGCTAATACTGAGCACTGCGAGCAGAGAGATTCCCGATGAGCCTCTGTGGAGAGACTGAGATTGAGTCTACGCGGGAAGACGGCAGAGTCAGAACTGGTGATCGCGAGTGTGGCGAGGTCATCAGTAACTTCACGTCTTCGCGGATTTAGCGTATGGATGTGGTTGAACTTGTACAGTCGACGGCGCTCTGCGTGTTGGAGCGTGGCTTTTTGTCTCTGCCATGTCCCTCGAAAAAGCCCAGTTGTGTGTACAACAAAATACCCAAAGAGATTCTTGTTGGCGGACACACAAGAGTTGAACAACAAAAAAAAACAGTTAATTTTAAAGTCGCGCCGCTTCTGTGGACAAAAAACCCCAGAGAAAACTCATGAAGAGGCGACAAGAATCCTATGGAAACACTTTTATAAATTCCCCAATTTATAAAATATGCAAATCCAACAAGAACTACACAATAAATGGCAAAAATACCAACACAACATAGTGTCGATGGCAAATCACGAGAACCGGCGGCGAAACCTCGACAATGGGAACAATAAACAGTGAAAATTCAATGAATGTGTGATATTAAATTCAGCCGGTGCAACACAATACAGAAAATGCCGTACACCTCCGGAAGCACGTGAATAAGAAGCCCCAAAAGACAGCAGCACTTCTCTAATTACCACCCAGAGTTATTTCATTCATCCCGCGCCATTCAATTAGTCAACCGTTGATTTTCACACCGTCGTTGTGGATTTCTTTCCTTCCCGAATACATTTTCTCATATCCCAGCGAATGCACTTAGCTGAGAATTTCAATGTGCTCGAAAATCTGCTCGCAAAAGCGCTTGTTTTAGGTCAAAGTGCTAGCATTACTTGGAAAAGGTATCTAAAAGTACTTCAGATAGTTCAGTAAACGTAACAACATCATGATCAAATAATATGAACGTTTGTATGATCGCTTATCCATCCCATTTTCATTTCATATATTGTTTGAGTGCTTCTTATATGAGAGTTGCTTGATTGTTAGCACTTTGACTCAGCATTAAATCAACTGAAAAACATGCTGAGTTTAGGTCAATGTGTTTGCTGGGATCATCTTAACGTGCAACGCCGAATTCTTGCATTTTAGAGAGAAAATATCTGCCATACATTGCACTCTCTCGTTGTTTTATAACAATCGTGAGTGCGAGGGAAAAGTCGGATAGGTAAATATTGAGGTGCGTGTTTCTTCACCTTGTTTGTTGTACAAGAATTACACTTGTTTGCCTGTTTCACCTGTCGCCCACATTTTACCACATTTTGCCACAATCCAGGAGATGAAATCTATCAGACATAAAGTAAATTGAATTGCACCATTGAATATAGTGTCACTATCAATTACACAATGATGAATATCAAATGAAGAGAGTGTTTGTACACTCAGAAACTTCTTGCGAGAAACACACTCAGAAGAATATGAAAGAGACGGCTTAACATCTTGTCGAAACCTTCTAAAAATTTCTCTTTTTATACCCACAATTTCACCCACATTTCTTATTTCATTGTCTTTCAATTTCAATATGTCTTTACTTCAAGCATAATAGCATGTATTCAAATATCTTTTTCCATAAATATCCTCTGCGAACCTCCAGATGCGCTATCTCTGCGAAAATTATGGGGAAATTTATTTCAATGAAGACATTAAATGCAAAAATAGTGCATCTGAAGGCACACAAAATTGAGGAAATTGGGAAAAATGCCAATACGCAGTGAGTGAAATGGACTTTTGCATAGTCGTAAATTTCTGTGAAATATTGCATCTTCACAATGCAATATAAACTTATGCAACACTCACGAAATATTGATTGATATTCCACATAATGCTCTGGCAAGTGTTTCAGAGATTCTATCTGTCGAGCTCTTGGGTGAACAAATTATATGTGCACCGCAGGATGACAATAAACATATTCGTCGAGGCGACAAATCGAGTAAATCCATTAAGTATGAAATATTGAGGGCGAAAGAAAGTTCGAGAGAAGGAAAAAGTCTTCCGTGATGCCTTTGGCTCCATATTTCACCAATAAATTATGAAATTCAGGAGAAAGAGGCCTTAAGATCTATCTATATTTAGCAATTTATCACACTCTTTGTGCATCCACAAGTGCGCAAAGTGAGGCTCTTCATCTTTTCCGATGTGGAGAGGAAGGAAAGTCTCCACCAGAGCCAGGAAGGCACGAATCATGGCAGTGAGATGCAATATATTCAAGAGAGACGCTCAACAAAAATAGAGGGAAAACTAAAACACTTGTTTCCATCATTGTGAGCATGATTAACTACAATTTGACTGCACACAAAATGGGGCATATTAGAAGATCACTCATTATGATAAATCGAGATTCGTAAACTGAACGGAAATTATAGGAAAATCTTGAGGAAAACCCACCCATTCAATATATTTAAATGCACTGAGAGATTCCAGATGCAAAATGGAAAGCATTTCAGGCATTTCAAATTGAATTCAGACTAATTGAGAGCAAAATTAATTGAACTTCCTCTCTAATTCTAATCAATATCTTTTACTTCCCCATGAGAATATTTCCCTCAATTCCCATTATTTTTGCCTCCCCTCCGCATCACAGCACCCCAATATTATTATTTCTTTCTCATTCACTACAACCCACACTCTCTTCTGGTTTTATGGCAATTTCAATACACTGTAGCCGCATTAGCCCAATTTCTTGCGCAACACAGAGAAAATAATTGAGTGAAAAAATTGCCTCAATGGCCCAGCTCTATAAAATAATGATTACACGTCCTGGAAAGACTGATAGTAGCCTCAATTTTATTTGTGCTGTGGCCCAACAACAAATAAACTATTAAAATTAGATTTATCGATCATTTGCACGATGTTACATTCGACGAGAGAAAAGCATGAAAAATATTTGTGGCCACACATACGAAGGAATCTAATCACTATCGATTTCTCACGTTAAAGAAACACGCTGTTTCCCCATTCATCGAACCAATAACTCACTGATATTCCTCTCTCTTCCTTCCAGTCTTTTCCACCATAACCCGAGGCACTTGTAATTAATAAAGTTGTAGTGTGAGAAACATTGAAACTTACGTGATAAGATAGAAGACTTGGGTTGCAGTTTCGGCGAACAACCACCTCCGGAAACACTCAAGTCACTCTGTGAACTCTGCTGGCTGTCTTTGCTGTAAGTCCGTCCCCTGGAACAGAAATGCCACACAATTCACGACAATTCCATCAAAATTAGCAAAGGAAAATTCCCACAAACAGTCGCGATAAACACTAAAACAATGCGAAGAATTCTATTCATAGTCCAAGAGAGCATTTTCAAAGGGAAAAAAAGGGAATTTCTTGAGAAATAAAGAACGCCAATCTTATCAGTGATCTACCTCAAAACTTATCGTGCACACGTCAACAAAAACTGAGAGGTCTCTTTATAGGTCATTTAAGTCCACTCAAACAGTGGCTGGTTGTCTGCCTTATCTCGAGATTTCAACACTCAATAAAAATTTTAATCACCATTTAACGAAAGTGTTTAAAATTTCCACCGAAGCTTACAATTTCACATCATCACTTATTTTGTGTACACCCAAATATAAAATCATGATAAGACGCTAAATATTTCCAGTTTAAATATTAGATAATATAAAATGACCTGCACAAGGGAATGATGATTAGATAAAAATGATAAGAGAAAAGTGAGAAAGAGAAATGCATTAGAAACTTACCGCTTGGCAGCAATTGTCAATCTCTTTGGCGAATTCTGCTCTGTGCTGCTGCCCGTGGCCGAAATCTTACTCGATCCTCGCGACAGTCCACTAAGCACTTTTGACTTCACTTCACTGATGTTCAGCTTTGTCTTCCCAGTTGTCTTTCCCTCGGCAATCTTGTTCATCACGCCGTCCCACTTGTTAGGCGGCCTGATCTTCTTCGGCACCTTGTTCTCCTGATTCTCCATGTCACTGTCGTGGGCACTGCGCTGACTGCCCGTGGTGTTGGAGCGCTTGATGGTCTTACCGGTGCTCACCTCACTCTTGGCGTGCTTTCTATTGGGACTCACTTTCTTCACTGTTCGCTGACTGGCGATTGAGCTCTTATCAGTCGCCGTATCGCCCGGGTTCGCCGATTTCTGTGGCCCACGACACTCAGCGATAGCTTCCACTGCATCATCGGCCGCCTTATCCGTGGTCACGTCCACGGAGGCCGCCTGAACGCCCGGCGACGACTGGAGGACTTGCGAAGGCTGGCTAGGAGTCAAGGAGGCCGGCGATTGGCTGGCACTCGCCTTCTTCTGGCTGCCACACTCTGTGCTCCCATTGCTCTGCAGAGTGTCTGTGGATCCATCCGGAGACATGTCATTCTCAGCCAGGCGATGAGTGAAATCCTCATCTGCTCTGTTGTCCACATCCGTGAAGATTCCGCTGGATTCCATGCAAGAATCATCGCCCTGCTGAGGCTGATTGATGTACACATTGGCAGCTTGCATGGACGGCCCATACAGCTGGCCATCGATCACTTGCGCCCTCCTGTCGCCGCCGCGCTGATGATGGAAGATGTCGTCAGCATCGCTCTCGGTGAAGAAGTCCGAATCCGTCATGGGATCCTGCCTCCGCGGAACAGGAGCGTTGAATGCCTGCACGTTGGGCGCCGCTGCAGCCTTTGCTCGTGGTCCATTGGACGGGGAGTGATCAGCCCCGCGGCTAGCCGGTCTGGACATCTCACCATCGCCCTGATATCCCGTGTCCAGGCTCGTAATGCTCGTCACACTGGTGATGAAACTCACCGAGACCTTCGAGGCGACAGACTTGGTCATCTGATCTGTCTTCGGATCTGAATCTGTCTGTGAAACCTCCTGATATTGTCCCGGCGGTTGCTGTTGACTCTGCTGCACCATCACATCTGCCGTATCCGTTTTCACGGCCACCGGATCAAGGGGCAGCTCCTCAGGCGAAGGCGTCTGATCCACTCTGCACTGGTGCATTGACAGCTTATGCTCAACTGACAGGGAATTCACTTGCGCCAGAGGCAATTCAAGATTGTTCGAGTCAAGAAACTCCTTCATCTGGTCGGGCGTCAAAATACCCAAACTTTCGTCCATCTCGAAGGAATTTTGCTTATGCAAAGACGTCACTGGTGACTTGGTGGCCTTCCCCGAGGAAGCAAGCGAAATGTCACACAGCTCAATGGAGCAATCCAGTGTACAATCCGTGAGATCCAGGCCAAAGGAGAAGCGTGGCTTCGCCTTAAGCTCGTCACTGGCATCCACAAGCGTCTTATCCGGATCCTTTGGGCTCTGCATAAGCGCATTTGTCACATTCGTCAGCTTTGTAAAAGTTCTCTGGTCATTTGCGGGTCTTCCCTCAGTCACAGACAATCCGAGAAGGTTTTCCGCACTCACTGCCGGACTCTTCGTCGCATTGCAGACATCGTACGTGAGTTGCAGTGGATTATCACCACCCTGATCCCCAATACTGCTCATGTTGAAGGTGAGATGAGGCGCCTCTTCACTCCTCGGCGTGGAATTCTGCCTCGCGTGGTGGCTGACGTCGAAGGTTGAGTGAAAGATTTGCTTATCACAGTCTTCGGGTGTGAGAATGCCTCGATTCCTCGAGATTGTCGCATCCAGGGCCAGTTCATCGTCCTGCAGCGCCAAGTGATCTGTACTGCCCACCAGACTTATCGTCTCATCCACCAGCATCTCGCATTCCTCCTCCATGGCGAGCGCTGGAGTCCTTTTAGCGTTGATGTTCTCATTTGAGCATGATTTCGGCACCTCAAATGTCGTCTTGAGGCTCCGCCCGCCAATTGTGGGCGCAAGATTGAGCACTCCCGGCCGCAGGCGACTCGCTGGCGCTCCTCTGAGCAGATTCGGAGCGAATTTGCCCAACTTGGATGGTATCTTGCCACCGCCCAGGCTCACCGGAAGCGCACTTCTGGCAGACAGGCCATTTATCCGTGGTATTCGTGACTGTGTTGATTCCTGGCAAGGAGAGGGAAAATTACCAAATTAATACACTTTTTAAATTTTAAACTGAATTTCAGAGAGTCAATAGAACGCGCGCACGGCATTCAAATAGCCTCATTTTCATACTAATTCGCCTGAATTCAAGCAACTACACTCGCGGGTAAAATTTTCATGACGTGCGGCATCAGTTGAAGAGCTTTTCGCCCAACTTTCAGTCCATTTCACGCTCCCACCCATCCAGATATTATCGTGTCAATAAAACAGAACGACGAAGATGCTCGAGAAATTGTGAATGAACCATAATTTTCTGTGTTCCACTCAATTTTCTCACTTTTGCCGACTTCCCCATCATCGCCCAAAGGAAAGTGAACAGACAGGCGAGGAAATTAGTGGAAGTTTCTTGCGAAAAGAAAAGTTCAACATCACGACTATTGCGACGACTTACCCTTGGCCACACAGATGAGCCACCCACGAAGGGAAGCCACCTAATTGAATTTTCAAATATCACACAAGAGGCAAAATGGGTATTTAGTCACCATCATTGGCATGAGCATTTTCCCTTCATCAAACATTCACACGCGGAGAGACCTGAAATTTCCAAAAGACCTCTGATTATGAATGACGTGTCATGAAACATTAAGGACACATTTCACTGAGTGGAAATTAATTTCACACTTGCGAAGCTCCGAAGGGTGTATTTTGATGGAATCAATATGCCAAGAAATTTGGTCAAAGGACGTGAGATGAAATTGAGAGACATTCATTTTCGGGTGAGTTTCCAATTAAAACTTTCTCACTTTTTTGGCTTTCATGTTGAATATTGAAATTATAAATTTATTGAATTGTATTGAGTTTGATTCCTTCATGTAAGAGGGAATTTTAGGTTCCTTTAGTGCATTCAAATTCCCGATGAAATATGACAAAACCAACAAATTCCATATCAATTTCAAACAGAAAACATTTTACTCCTCATCACATATTATGTGTCCATTATGTTGTCGCAAATGTATCGAATATTAATTAATTGTACGAACTTTCCCACCCACATTTGTTTGATTACAATTGAATATATCAATTAGCGATTCAATATTGTAACTTGATATTGGTTCAAAGCATAGAATGGGTAAATTTTAGAATATTACTGGAGCGATTCTCACTCAAATTGGGGAATTTTAAATTTCAAACATGTAAAAGTTTAAAAATCCAAATGAATAAGAAAAAACAGCCCTTGTTAGCCCCTTAACTAGTAAATAAATCCGTTCTAAACTCTGTGTTTTATACTCCTAAAACACATTTTTAACATTCATGTGTTTGACTGGGAATCGCTCCAAACATAACACTATTTGATTATAGTTTCACTGATACTTGAGAATATTTTATAAACAAAAAGGAGTGCTAATTAAGCAATTAGTAATAATACAAGGAACCATTCGACTGATTGTGAAAATGATGATGTGACAAGCAGTCGTTTTCCCTTGGCAATATTGGGATTTCGCATGAAAAGCTGTAATAATCGTTGAAATGTCTTGCATGGCCGCAAATCAACAGATTTTCTAATTTCTCTGAGTGTATCGCATGAATTTGAGCTTCTCACCGTTTCCCATACTTCGCCACTCTCTGTGCAATTTAAAGCAATTGGGACCCATAATTGCTCAAAGCCAAACACTTTTTCTCCCTCCGCAAATATGCATTGAGCACTGCGGGAAATGTTTTTTTTTCTACTCTTCCACAAGGAGTTTCCCCAGAAATATTTAATGAATACTCTTTTTTTGCATCATGTTAACAAATAAAAAGAAGAAGCTTTCAAAATCAAGGTTGATTCTCATCGCTTTGACGCTCTTTCCTTCGTCTGAATTATTAATGGGATTTCGGAGAGAGTGTCGAAAAATGAACATCTCTATATAATATTGAATGATGAATAACCGTTTAATTACATTTTGCGAAATTCAACATCACTAAATCTACTTAGCCGAAGAGACTCACAATAAAATTGTCCGAGAGGTTAAAATCAATCTGCCGGCACTCGTGAGTGGTGGTAAAACATTGGGAAAGCTCTTTCGGAGGGGGCACAAAAAGGCCAGACATGAGCATTATTAAAACTTACATAACACATGTTTTTCACTACGCAGTTTTGTTACGCATTTGTGGTGCTTTTTTTCACACATTGTAGAAGAAGTTGAAATTGCCTTTGAGACCCTCCCAGAGCTGGTATTAAAACATGAAATTGACAATTTCCACACACACACATTTCCGCTCATGGAAACTCTCCCCAAAGTGCACAACACAATTTGTTACAAATAAAAAGCCGATCCGACAGAAAGTTCCATCTTCATTGATGAGACAGGAAAAAGACCACAGAAAATTGCCACATGATATACAATTTCTGACGATGGAGCGTCAAAGGCGGGGAGAATCTAACGAAAAATATTTACTTTCCCACAAAAAACTCCCATAGAAGAGTGCTGAAGCGAGAGAAAAATCCACCGAATCAATCAATAAACTGGCAATTATTACGTAAGGAAGTACAAGAAATGTCTATGAATAAATAAATATTTCATGGAAATTTGCTCGCTGTCCCCATCGCCTTATGCTCACGAGATGGAAAATCACATGAGCTCGCGAAGGTGAAGAGAGACAGACAAGTGTCCGATATGTCAATCTAATGTCAATTATTAATATTGCACCGCGCGTTAAAAGTGAAATGCCAAGAATGGCGCGTGAAACTGGAAAACCTGCTCCTTTCCATTTCTTAATTTCATCATCATCATCATCAACCGTGCCGAGAAGCCCCAGAAGTGTCCATCATTGGATTCTCTCTCGACAGTCACTCAGGCATTCTCACGATTCTGTCAATGCGATGCGGTTGTTTGCTGATATTTTAATATCTCTTTTATATTATTCACACTCCAACACTTTTGCTGTGGTGTCTGTTTGACCATGAATTTTGAGTTAAGTAAATAACACATGATAAGATCTCCGTGCTTTTATTGTTTGCCGCATTTTCATTTCCAATCACTCTTTTTGCCAATCACCCAAACACGCACCCACAATGCAAGACTTCGATAGCGATAACTTTGGCGAAACTACTAAATTTACAGAGAAGAAACAACAGCCGCCCAGTCAATTATTAGACCAACAAGCAACTTCGCTCTGACGAGCGAAAAGCAAACAGTGTTTGCAAAGAGTGTTTCTTTTTATTCACATCAAAGCCTAAAGGTGTTATTGTACTTTTAAATAAGCGTCTATTTATGCAGAAAATTATCAGTGCACAAAGAATTACGCAAAAGTCACAGATAATTGAATTTGTCGAATAAATCTAGAGGAAAGATATTAAGTTGCTGCGAATTGTATGATTTTATTATTACGTTTTCGGAGTAAACTGGAGAATTCTCTCTCATTTCACTCAATTACCATGAGTGAACTATTGAAAATTGCCCCGCAATACCCTATCGATTTGCTTCACAACTAACACGTGAATATTCCATGAATTTTGCAAATGTATTCCTCAAACTCCCGCAGAAGACACATTTCCATTCTAAAATTCAAATCCGGATAAAATAAAGTGTTTTTGTCTTGTCTTTTCCCATAAATTTGAAGACCGATAACTTCCAGCGGATATTCCAATTTGATTTAATGAACGAAAACAGTTTTAATTTAAAATGAATGAAAGTAAAATTAATTTATTCATTCTACTTTTTAGTTTGTGGTAGAAGGAAAAAAAAACTGCGTGTGCAAAGGTCGTGAGAAACCTTCAATTTCCATGTGTAAGTAATAAAAGGCATTTGCATAAAATTGCATAGAGCTTCATTGACCTATCTTTTTTTTTCATTGTTAGAATGTGCGTTTGTCTTCGCGTCCGGACGAGCATTAATTCATAGAATTCACTGGTAGAAATCATCACAAAAATCATTCATTTTCACCATGTTTTAATTAAAAGCCTTTCTTTCTAACTTACATTTTGAAAAACAATAATAAATTACCAAAACGCTCCACTTTTCCCAAAGAATATTTATTCCCTGCGAGAGTCCATAAAGTGTCTGTCTATCAACATAAATCCGGCGAATCGTCAGATTACATAAATACAGAGAACGCATGCGTCTATTTGAGCAGAAATAGCATCAAGAGGTGCATTATAAAGTTGATCGAAACGTATAATTTCAAACATACAAATGAATTTGAGAATTTAATTTAATGCTGCTGTGTACTTAAGTCTTTTCCACGTCCATTGAATTAAGACGACTGGCGCAATTTCACATCCGTTCTTTGGCACATTCGCCACTTTACAATTGCGCGATAATTGCAGCTCGAATTCAGGCTTTTGCTGTGGCATCATGACAAATTCTACGTTATGTCTCAAATTGGAGGAAAACCACAAAAGGTGTATTACATCATCGAAGAAAATAAGCTTCATTCTCCCAACTGCAGAATGATAAATTTGTCAACAGAGTGAAATTGTGGTTATGAAAATCCCTCGAGCATGAACGATGTTTTCTAATTTTTCAGCTGCAAGCCAACATTGCTCGTTAGACACTTCTCAAGCCCCATATGTGAGCCTGGGCGATATCCAGGGAGAGATAATGAGTTTGGGTTGAGCAAGCTTCACGCCGTGCCACAATGTGGAGTGAACAATTCTTACTCAATTTAGCGTCTCTGGACACCCAGCAGCAGATCTCGGTGTAATTTGCATAAATTATAATTTTAATTGACGCTATATATTACTGCTGGAGTCACCACGAACTTTTAATATCAACTGCGGGAATGCGGCTTTGGGAGATGAGTGGAAGATTTATATTTTATTGCAGAACACGCACGAAGGTGGAGTGTTTGGAAAAACTCTTTGCATACAGTTTTTCAATGGTGTGAGAATCACTTTCACGTCTTTTATGCTAAATAGACTCTTTGTCACACACTTGTTTATACTTATTTAGGCACTAAAATATACCTTCACACTGGCCGCGTTGTTTAATGATTTTCGATTGAAAATCAACCACAAACAATATCAGAGCTGCCCACACAAATTGGCCGGTTTTTTGATGTCCAACGTCAATTATGGTGATATTTTTTGGGAGGATATCCAATTGGGCGGCTTCTTCGGGCTTTTATGTAACGCGGAGAAACGGCGCGATCACACAGCTGTGAACAGACGTCTAACACGGCAAAATGCTCAATCGTGACTGACCGAGTGACTGAGTGAATGCCTCCCAGAGAGACTCCATGTGAGTCTCCGCACACACTTGCGGCGGAAAACACACTTTTTCCAACACACAGAGCCCAAAAAGTAATTTGACGACACGCTGACCTAACACAGGTGACTCAGAGAAATGAATTATATCAATTGCACTGTTTCTGCATTTCGCAATGCACCAACTTCCATGATAGCCCAACAATTGAGCAGAGTCTCCAAAGTAAGCTCTCAATTGGATTAAGAGATAAGCGGAAAGAAACACCTCGATTGGGCCACACTGTGACACCACTTGAAACATAAAACGCCTCAGACATTGTGCAATAATCGGTGTACTTTATTTGATTAATTACCATATCATTATTGAGCGAAAACACAAAGTGCAGAAGGGTCTCCGCAGAATGAGGTTAAATGTCCAACTATTGATCCCAATTTCCCACAAGTTCAATTGCAGAGAAGAAAGAAAGAAGAAAAAAAAAACACTTTTATCCCAACACCATTGCGAAATGTTCGCCTCAATTCTCACTGTGATATATTGTGACCTTCTTAGCCAAACTATTCTTCACGATAAAGTTCTCATTGTTGATCTTCCTGTTGAATGGGAAGCCAATCGGCCAGTGATCAGCCTTTGGCGGTGCTTTTCCAATGCTGCAGAATCTCGTGGGTTGAATCTCGTCGAGATCCTCTTCAGTTGGCGTCACCACAAAGTACAAGACGTAATCTGTGCCGAAAACTGAGGACTTGGGCAGCATCAGGCGCTCAGGGAAGGCACAGAAGGCATCCTTGCTGCTTACAGTCAAGCACTCCTCATCATCCATCATGGACAACTCTTCGAAAGACTTGAAGCCAGTGCCAAATCCAGTGAAGGCGCTGCTCTTCCTCATCACCTTATTATCTCCGCGCTGCAGTTTCACCGGATAGTAGTCGATCTGGAAGAAGTTCGCTCGGTTCTCATCCCAATTGTACAGATCAATCCTCTCCGCCTCCTCATCGTTCGGCCCTAGGAAGACTCTCACGACAGCGTCTGTGGGATTGTCGGCGTGCACCTTGAGATCGTAGTAGAATGGAATGTGTGTCAACACCTTGAGATTCACTTTGAATCGCACATCTTCATCTCTAAACCATTCCTCAGCTTCGCCGTCTTGCTTCTCCTCCATGAACACCGCATTGGATATGTCAACACTCTTGTTTTCGAACATCGTTCGCAAATCGCTCACCTTCGCATCGAGAATATCAATAAACTTTGCCTCAAAATCATAGGGTGGCAGATTATCTTGATGCTTCTTCACTATGGAGACAAGCTTAGCTATTGCTTGGAAGTAAATAGGATCGCGAAGTTGAGTTTCATGATGATCGAGAGCGTTTGAAAAGTCTCTCTTATCCTTTCTGGTTCGGTACTTTTTCGGTCCGGACACGTATTTCAGCAGAAGAGGCCAGAATCTCGGGAAATTGCTCTTGTTCTCAGTGTTGCCCTCTATCAAACTGCCTAAGAAGTTGAGTCCTCCGGGGCGTTGGAAGGATAAGTGTCCTCCTGGATGCCAGAATCCTCCTTGATCGATAATCTTCCTGATACCCTGCTCCTCCCTTATCAAGTCCATCTTCACATCCTCTTCGAATTTCTCCTCATACAGATACGGTCTTGGTATGATCGAGAGGCCATTGGCATGAGACATCATTGGATAGTAGCCCCAAATGTTCTCATCCGTGTACGAAACAGGCGCAACATCGCCAATTTCCTCTGCCATTCTCTCCAAGTTGAATCTCGCCAAGAGCTGCTGATGCTCAAACAAGAAAATCTCTCCCCTGGTCGTGTTTTCAAAGTACTCCTCCTCCAGCGACGGTTCAAAGGACAATCGGAACAGGTAATAGTATGCGTTCAAGTCAACATCTTCGCGGAAGTAGGTATAAGCTCCTTCCCAGTCATCAATTGCCGCTTCCTCATAGTCTATGTACTTAACCAAGGTGCCATTCTCATCTTCGAACCCATTAGGACCCGTCATTTTAGCCAAATGAGCCTTCCTAATCACGTCGTCTCGGAAGTATTTGAAGGGATTAATTTCGTACGGCGGCGGCAGGAGGAACTCCTCCTCAGCGTGGTGAATCAGAAACGTGAAGAACTCGTACATGAATGCCTCCTCATTGGACACATTCCTCAGCCACGCGGCAGTCTCGAGAGCGCCATCGAAGTCCTTGGCGCTCCTAAAGAAGCCCAAGGCTGTGTGAAATTCCCTCACACAATCCTCCAAGTGATAGACAAATGGATATGTCTTTGGCACCGGCGTTATCCTTCCCTTCATAATACTCCTGATAAACTCCATCACCACCTTCGGAAACTTCTCGTCCTTGTAGCGACTCATATCTGTCACGTTAAAGTCCTTCACCACCCGTTCAAGCACCGGATTCCAGCTGGGCGAGTAGATATGACGGAAGAGGGCATAGATTTTCTTCTGATTCACCACAAAATCACTGGTGCACTTGTGAACTTCACTCGTGGGCTGAGTGCCGCCCATCCAAAACGCCCCATCGAGAGCGGTGGCGAGAGTCAAGAGCACTATAACACAGAATTCACCCCGAAGTGGCAACATATTGGGGCAATAGAATCACAACTGACGACTTCTCACCTCATCGAGCTCCTAATATACGGATCTTTATTTCCGGCTGGCAATTAGTTTCGACCACTTTTTTTTCGTACTACATATTCTAAACACAAAGTTCTAACTTTGCGCATTTGCTGATGTTCCTGGAAACCAACAGGAAATTCACTCGCAAGATCCGACCATTAACTTTGTGATTATTCCATCATTTTTATGATTATGCCCAAAATATTTTAATATTTGATTATTGTATGAATTTTTTATTATTTTCTCCACGTAAAATCGCAAACCTTCAACGTTTGAGTGAAAAGACTTCATAAACTAAATATTGTGGATGATAAAACGCAGAAATACTCTTTGTAATTGCTATTAATCAACTCAATAAATTTACCAAACAATCCCAAATATTCCCAACAAGTGGACAGACACAGAATCCCATTAATCTCATGTCGAGATTTGCCATTATGGATTAGGAAGTGTTTCCCATATGCAAAAATCTCTGCTGTGTTGGGCGTGTTACATAACATGCGGTATTTTTACAACATTTTCTTCCCCATATTTTGCACCAAAACCACCGGTCGCACCTCTTTTTCTCCCACCCACGCAAGGTCACGCTTCTACTGATAAGCGCTCGTCGGGAAATGGATGGAAAAAGCTCGGGAAAAACAGCTGAAAAATGCTTCATTTACACACCCACAAGCAGTGACAATTGAATGAAGTGCTCGACTTCTGTAAACACGACTTTTTGTTGACACTTCGGATAGGGAAAAATGGCAAAATGTAGCCCGAAGTGCGCGCCTATTTTGTAACATTATTGCGAAATTATTAAGTCTATAAAGCGATGATGAATTGAAATTGATATTAATTGATGTTCTTGTTGGGATGCGTGAAGTGATTATACAGTGAATGGAATAGTACAAGGTAGTCAATTAGCCATGCAGCGAAGCTGTAACATCATGTATAAATCTCTCATACCGCGTGGCATTATTTTTAATAAGAACCATCATAACATTAGCAAATGATGATGTATGACTCGGTGTGTGTGAAATTGCCAGTGGAATATAACCCTTAAATTAACGAAGCGAGGCAGAGACACTTAGTGCGGAATCCCCCACACAGAAACAATGCGTCTTCTTGTGCTGGGATGCCTAAACGACGTATTGTATCAGCGGAAATTCTATGCTCTATCGACGATGCATATCCGATTTGGATTTCCAGCCATCAGTCCTCTCGTTCTCTCCCATGCAATATTCAATATCACAATCACGTCACATCCACTCACTATCATCAGCCGCAGAGGTGACGACGAAGGGGGCGGTTCAGTGCGTTAGCGTCTTTACAATTGCAAAATACCTGAGACACGCCAGTTTCCAGCCGCTCGCGGAGCATCATTACCTCGCGAGTTGATCAAACTCAGCACGTGATCGCTTCCAGAAAGCACTCATTACTCCCATATGCAGCGCCACGCACTCGGAAAGCCTCTCTATTCACTCCCAGTTGACCCACATTTTCCCCAAAACCGCATCACGCGGCATAAATGGAAGAGTGGAAGGAAGACATGCTTTGATTAATTCTACACAGTCACTTCCTTCTTGTCTGTGTTCCAATTTTTTTTCCCCACTCATTCGCCGATTTTTTTTGCCCATTTTTCGCAAATTACTTCTTTATAGTGGCGTCCAGCCCACAATAAGTGATTTTATTATTTTCTTCTTGCCTCCGGCACGAGATATTCATTCTCGGTCAAGCATGAATTTCAGCGGTTAGTGGGTGGATGAGCAAAAAAGACCAAATGGAGCCTCGCAGTTCACAGCACGAGGAACGTGTTCTGCATTGTAAATTCCTCCACGGAACACCCATCATTGTCTCTCTCTTTCTCTCTCTCTCTTGCCATTCAATCTCTCAACTTTCCACAGTGGTCAGCTGAAGAGTTCTCTGTTTGTTTGCAAAAATTCTGCGGACACCTTAAAGGCATGAAAATTCCCAGCACTGAACTTTTTCAGCAACTCGCAGTGTGCTGGAACTGTCCAGTCTGATATGTATGTACACACGTAGTTTGTCAACAAACGCCAGCGGCGCCTTTTTACCATATATTCAACGCCACAAGAGAAAAATCAACAGGAGAAAAGTGTGAGGTGAAGTTTGTTGCCATCATTTAGTACACACACTTGAGTAAATGTTGCATAAATTAGTAGGAGAATGTTTATGAGACCAAGGGGCAGATATTATACACAGAAGTGGTGTACAACTTCAAGGAACTGTAGAAGTATTTAGAGTATTTTCGTTGCAAAAGCTTCTGTTGCAACAAAGATAGAAATTGTTCATGAGCAAATCCTGCAACATTAAGATAATTCAGTATAGTTTCTGCAGAAGAGTCAGAAAGTGGTGTACAAATTTAAGCCGCATTATCTCTCCCTTGTTTGGGGCAGAGAAACATATGCTTCAGAAAATAGATCAACAGAAAGCTCCTCATTTTACCTCCAATGTCACTTAAATAATCACGCTCGCAGTTGATGGGCAATTTTCACGAAAGCCCCTCACTTCCAGGCACACATTCAAGGCCAAGGAGTGGATTAAATTCTCACATCAACGGCAACATGCTGAGTGATTTGTGCAAAATCATCAACACCAATTTGATCCTCCTCATCGCACGCTCAATCAATATCATTCACTGCGTCTTCCCAGCCAGATAATTAGAATTTTCTCACTTCACAGAGCGCTTCTAACATCATATCAGACAGCAAGAAGCTGAAGGTTCCCATCATTATACATTAATTTGGGAAGCATGAAAGGCATTCAAATGAAATTGATTTTGAATTAAACCCGTGAAAATAATTGACAATTTCAATGCAGAAATTATCATCGCTAATATTTTGAAATGAACCTTCATTTCATTTTCAACAATACAAAAAAATTACCCTTAATTAATTCGTCGCTGTATTTATCGGATATATGATCATATTATTTAACTTAATGGAAAAACGGTATATAAATAGAGGTACTTTTTATCACAAAGTCTCTATTATTTGCCTTTGCGTACTATTTTCTGTACATTTTTGTGTCTGAAATGTTCCATTATTTATTAACAATGATGAAAAAATATTCATTATTGCTTTTTCCGACACATGAAAAATCAATTGACGATTTATAGTGTCACTCACCTTTGAATAACTCACCAAAAAAGTACCTCTCGACACATTGAAAATACTATACATTTATTGCAAAATCACTTGAACAACAATGAACCATCAATTTCGTTTCCTTCTGAAAAATTAAGTGCCAAATATATTTCTTAAAGTTACCACACGAGTGTGAACCTTCCATTTTTCTTCCACCAAACAAATGGCCGTGGTGGCAAGGTGATTTCCATTGCAAGACTCGAGCACACAAGACGAAAAAGCTTGGGTTGATATTGAAAATTCATTAGGGAAAAATTTCCCCTTTGAAGCCAAATATCAACAAATGCGGTGCACAAATAATTCATCCAAATGAATTTATATGAGAAATGTGGCGCCATGCTGTTCAGCAATCGATAATTTTCCACCCATTGAGACTTTCACAATGGAAAGCTCTTTTGCACTCTCGCTTTGCTGCTTTTCTATGTGGAGCACTCGTCCATTTTTCACCCACTGACGCCCTCTTCCTCCTTAAATGTCACCGCATTTGTGCTCCCCTTTCAAAGTGAATGTATGTGTGTACTTTCAGCTGGATTATTGAAAAGCAAGTATTCAATCACTTATGAAATGAAATCACGCAAAAATAAGTCATTGAGGAAATTGTTGGTGAGAGTTTGAGATGTTTTGCAATTTGCACCCACGCAGATTCATTAGGTGAATTTCGCCCTCTGAATAAATCACCAGTCAGTGCATTAAATTAACTCTCAGATGCTTGTTTGCGAATTTCCATTTATGCCAAACAATTTCCATATATTCGTGTGACGCAATGGGAAAATGGGGTAGAAAACAGACGTGTGTTTTGCGCGATATTTGAACGGTGGCATAATTTCATCATGTTTGCATATTGTCCTCACTCTGCATACCTATTTACACGTAAAGCTCCGCCCCTTCGGAAGCCACGCCCTCGTGAAATTAAAGTCACTTATTTACACGCTATTCAGAGGTAATTTCAGGATGAATCGAGTCCTTCCACACAAATACCATTCAGCGTAACGCAGCAATTGAAATTACATTATGCATCCCCATGTAACTGTCGGCAGCTCCACTCAGCGACCATTCTAACCGTATATTGTCTCGCTAAACCCCACTCAATTTTCCTCCAGCACCACTCTTGTACGTATAAATTTACCCCAATAAATATGGTATGCTCTATCTCTGCGGCATCACTCCAGAGAGTTGAGTCCATTTTTGCCACAACCCTTTCCACCCCATCCGGCACTCCGGCTCTCCGCGGGGCGCGAGGGAGTGAATATTGTGAAATACGCCGAATGGATGCGGAAGAGAGTTGCAGTGGAAGGACAACCCGAGGCGAAGGATGGAGAACGTGTGGAGACATTGCGATACACACCAGGATGACTCATAGCGCCGCCAGGACGCATGCTCCTCTGCAAATGGATCCCGGCCGGGCTTCAGAATGTATGGAAATCCCGCACTTTGCGATTAAATCTGAGCACCTCAGAAAGAAATGATGTGACAGAAGGATTTCCCCTGCTAAATCCTCCCGACAATCTGGACACCATCGTCAAAACGTGACGAAGTACTTTTGCCAAACAGGTGCTCAACTCTGGTAAGCTATACGAAAAATCCAAGAGAGGAAAACCCGAGGTAAAATTCACCATGATTAATTACATCCGGACTGGATTTCGACGAATTTAATTGTATGTCGACAACCTGAATTACATTCATGCCTCAATCATCGATTTTCTCCTCCGCAAACGCATGTTTTTCCACCGCACGAGGACGTGTAATTTGCTGAAGAGAACACCATAATCTGTCTGCAGGAGTAAAACTCACGTTATATCTTCATATTGGACACTTTTTGCCCAGCACAAAATCGCGTGCAAGTTGCCACTATTTGCATTTATCCAG